GAGCCAAGCAGGCTCACTGGAAGAACGATGGTCTCTTTAATAAATGGTGCTGGAAAAACTGGATCTCCATTTGCCAAAAACCAAAGCTAGACCCATGCCTATCACCATATACTAAATTAAAATCTAAATGGGTCAAAGATCTGAATATTAAAACAGAAACACTAAATCTATTGGAAGACAAATTGGGTAGAAACCTTGAAGACATAGGAGTAGGTAGAGAATTCATGAACAGGACTCAAACCGCATGGGAAATACTTCCCAGAATCAATAACTGGGACCACTTCTTATTAAAATTTTCTGCATGTCAAAAGAAATCTCTAGCATAGTGAAAAGAAAACCCATAAACTGGGAAAAGATTTTAGTGAACTCTCTGTCTCAGGCAAGGGGACTCTTGTCTAAAACATATAAAGAATTAAAAAAAACTCAGACCCCCAAAATTCAAAGATCCAATACAAAAAGGGGCATCTGAGATGAATACACACTTCTAAGATGAAGAAATACAATTGGAAAATAAATACATAAATAAATGTTCATCATCATTAGACAAATGCAAATTAAAACCACACTGAGATACCATCTCACTCCTGAAAGAATGGCCAGGATCAAGAAAACCAACAACAACAAATGCTGGAGAGGCTGTGGGGAAAAGGAACTCTCCTACACTGGTATTGGGAGTGTAGGCTGGTACAACCTTTGTGGAGGTAACTCTGGAGATTTCTCAAAGAGCTGGGATTGGAAGTTCCATTTTTTCCAGCTATTCCACTTCTAGGCATATTCCCAGAAGAACTGAAAGCATCATACCACAGTGATATATGTGCACCTATGTTTATAGCAGCACAATTTGTAATCGCCAGACTTGGAAACAACCCAAGTATCCACCAACTGAGGAATGGATAAAAAAGTCGTGGTATTTCTATACAATGGAGTATTACTCAGCTATAAAGAAGGATCATGTTGAGATATTTATGTATAAATGGGTGCAGCTTGAGACCATACTCATGTAAGTGAAATATATCAATCTCACATGTGTGAATACCGAATAGTTTCCGTAATGTAAGTAATGATTCAAATATATAAAAGTATGTTGTAATCATGATTCCCCATTATGTGGTCTTGAAGCCCTGTAAAGTTTTCACTTATTAGTTGGAAAGGCTTTATTCTGGGATTCTTGATATGGAAATATTTGAAGCTATAGTATATGAAGTTATATTCATATATTTCAAGGAAAAAGACAGACACTATGGTAACTACCATTAAGTCGGGATATTTGGTGGTGAAGCACTAGGTTGCTGAAACAGTCATGCTTTGACCTGTATTGTTATATTGTTATGTCCTCTTTTATCTCAATCTCTCTCTTATTTATTAAAAAATTATTTAGTTATTTTTTATGTTTTTTTTAATTAAGGGGAAAATTTAAACAATTAGCAGGATATATCATAGTAATTTTTTTAAATTTTCTATTAACTTGTTTTGAAGTCCTGTAATACTCCCACTATCCTCTTTTGATTGATTAGGCACTGTTCCATTCTGTATGATAGTATCAAGTTTGGGGGTATTGGCAACTACTTTGAAGGCAATAAGATTCACTAAGATGCCCATTCTTGTTTGACTATTATCTCCTTTGGAAGTCCTGTAATGTTTACAATGTTTAAGTTTTATTGGTCTTGTTCTCTACTGTTTTGTTCAACTATATAACACCTAATGAGATAGACAATTCTTTTTAAGGAAACAAGAGAGTTTATGGTAACCATTGTTGATAACCTTGTACTCTGTTCTTACATCATGTACTATGTCTATCCTTGGTTTTGACTAACAGCTTGGTTTTGCCATATTTGACTGTATTCTCTTTCAAAAAAAGTAATAATAACTAAGGAGGAATAAAACCCAAAATATGTAAATTTTGTTGGTAAAAAGAGAGGGAAAAAAAGTGCTCTAAAGGATACAACTGCAAGTGTGTTTAGGGGTGTTAAATAGCTGACCATATTAATGTTTTTGGTTGGATCATTGAACACAACTGTTTGCAGTCTCTCTGTTTGAATGTTCACTTTGTATGCTTTGATACTGTGAATTGAGCAACTATCTCTAAGACGAAAATGTGCAATCTATTAACTGGTGATTTCTTAATGTTTTTTTTTTTTTTTTGTAGTTCTGTATTACTTGTACCCTTACACCGCTTTGTTTTGTTTTGGTTTTTCTCTTTTTCCTTTTAAATAAATTTTTTAAAAAAAATAAATTCATTTCTAAATTAAAAAAAAAAAGTTGAAAGAGGGGTGAGGAAAGAAGCAATGAATGAGAAAGAGCTAAGAACATCCCCATGTTCCCAGTCCTCATCGGCATCTGGGAATTAACCTGTGTCCAGGAAACAGTTTCAGGACAATTCCATAGGCTGCTCATACTTCAAGTAGGAGTCAGGCCATGTCAGGACACAGTATGGCCATGACGCCCTGGCTCAGCTACAGCAGCTCCTTCTGCTCTCCTCCAAGGTGAACAGGGAAAAAAACATCTGGAAATGGATTCAACCCAGTGGGTAAGTGCTGCTTAGCCCAACAGGAAAGTCCTCTTTCAACATAATCAACGTGTCTTCATATGTTCTGACAGTTCCCCACCAAGAACCACACGGCACATCCACATGGCCAAGTCTCTATGATTCAGCTCTGCTTCTCAAGGAGAACAGACAACCTGCCAGATCATCAAAGACCACTATGGCCAGCTAATCTCTCTGACAGATGCCACTTCTGTCCTACATTTAGTCTCTAGGATTGACTGAGAATTAAGTATTCACTGAATCAAGCTGTCCACCAAACAGTACTTTAGGGATAAGGAAGGAGACAAGAGTTGCTTTGAATGAAAGGAGAAATGTTCAGTCTTTGATCCTTACTCAGAGCTCTGTTAGGCATGCAGAAGGAAAATATGAGTTGCAAGAAGGAAAACTGCATCTAAGTGACATATTTTGAAATTAATGTCTTATCTACTTCTTTGTCAAAATTTCGTGATTTAGGAACAAGATAGAGAAGAATAAAACATGAAAATGCATAGTAAAGCTAAGAATAATGAAAGGTGTTCTGCCACTAGTGGTTCCAGTTTGTTTTCATGTAAGACATCAGTTGACATTCAAATTTATACTTTTGGTGATTTCTAGATGTACATCGATGTATTTAATCAAAATATGATTTCAGACACTGAAAATAAATGAATGTATATTGGATTTATTTCTGAGGAAACACAAATGTTCAGTTGCCTGAACTTGTTGCCTGTCCTCTGGATCAGTCCATGTTGAGGAAGGAGGGGACCCTCAATGGACCTGGGCCCCATCCATTGACTTGCTCTGTAGAATGTGGGTGCTCCAGGGGGAAAAAGGCCAAAGGGAACAGAGTAGGAGGAGCTGCAGAAATATGATGTCTTTATTTTTTATTCATCCTTGCCTGAAAATTGATGTTCTATTTGGGCAGAGATTTTGTTCAGTGTGTTCCAAAATTATTCTGCTATGTGACTCAGGGCAATTATGCTCTTAATTTTATACTGCTATATAGAAATTAAATGCAATGTTATTTCATGTTTTAACAAATATTTTATGTTTCATTCCAGTTTAATGAATAATAGGCTACTAGGACTTGGGGTCTCTAATTACTTCATCTGTAACCCACAGCAGGAGCTGTAGCGTCTTAGATCTGTTGGAGCCAAAAATTTCAGTGAACTTGAGAGATTCACTGAATAAATGTCCATTGAGAAAGTTCGGACTAGGGACACAGTGATTCCTAAGGAAGTGATCATATTTTCTGAGTGTGTGTCATCATGAAGGAAACACCAGAGAGCTGGTTTGGATAAATTGAGAAGTCTAAGAGATAGATATCTAATAGAAACATCAAATAAGTATTTAAAATTGAAAAAAAACAGCCTGAGACAGATGTATGAGTGGCCTACTGTTCTAATTCTATCCAGTGCCGTTAATATATTTCATATGCTGTTATAATAGATATAATTCAATAAAATTTTGAAATAATGAACTGACATGAAAAAAGGTTTAACATATATACATTTTGTTTTCAAGTTGGTGGCAGCAGCAGTTTGGTAAGAAATTGGGAAATCTGGTTCAGAATTATAATTTGAAGGTTATGTCTTGATACATGTGGACATATAATCACAATTAGTGGATTAAAGGCATTTTTGAGCTCTCTTTCAGTTATTTAATGTCATGGCTCATCCTGGTGCTGATTCTATCACTTTTACCTTCTTGATGCTTTACACAGGCTTCTGATATGAAGGCTGCCCACTGAGAGCTCTGCCCATTGAGTTTATCAGGAGCTTACAGTGCAGAGTGGCTCAGACAGCTGAACCAAGTCAGGATGGAGTCATGGTGCATATTCCCACTCTTCCTGCTGTTCTGAGTCTCGGATATGTGATTTAAAATGTTATTATTTAAAAGTTAACAATGATATTATCATGTGGAAGGAAAAAATTGTTTACACCTGTCTGATTTTTCAATAAATAAACACAATATTACTGATCTTGACAAGTTCAAATTGTGACATGATTTCCTAATTACAGGCAGCTATGGAGACACCATGAAGAGGCAGTCTCCTGGATTGATGGCTGTGTCTGCAAAGAGAGGGCCACCATCAGCTACAATGTTATGGTCCTTTAAAAAGCTGCAACCAGAAGAATTACTTGTCTGGGTAACCGAAGAAACAAGGATAGGGTCTTAAACCGCTCATTTCCTTGGCATCTACCTGGACCTCTTGAGAACTTTTTATTTTGAGAAAACATTTTCTATGCTGTCCAGTAGGACTCTCTTGGCTAGTCTGGTCAAATTAACATCATCACAGAATTACTGAGACAATGTTCTTGCCACAAATCTACATCACTTCAGAAAAGAAGTATGAACACATCCCTGTACTGTAAGAATTTTCAATTTTTATGACAAAGTTGAAGTATCACATCTGTGCATGAGCCAGGGAGCACCTGCACCCTGCTGATTTGCATATTGCTTGCTCAGAAACAACAAAATATTCAGAGTTCTATTTAAAGCCTGATTTTAAGAGACCCGTTTAGCCTGAGGCAGAGCTCAAAAAACACAATGGATTTTCAGGCTCAAATTCTCCCCATTCTACTGCTCTGTGCCACAGGTAAGAAAAAAGGAAACTCAAAACTGAGCCTCCTTTCTGAATAGAAATTGAGATTCAGGCAGGTTTGTGGTTACTGTTCCTGTGTGTTGTGTGATGTGACATTCCTGTGTCTCTATGTGTACTAACTTTTGTCATCACTTTTCATCTCTATTCCATGACTGTAGTGTCCAATGGACAAATTGTGCTCACCCAGTCTCCAGCATCCCTGGCTGCTTCCCCAGGGGAGAAGGTCACCATCACCTGCACAGCCAGCTCCAGTGTAAGCAATAACTACTTGCACTGGTACCAACAAAAGCCAGGAGCCTCTCCAAAGCTCCTAATTTATAGAACATCAAAGCTGGCCTCCGGAGTCCCGGCTCGCTTCAGTGGGAGTGGGTCAGGGACTTCTTACTCTCTCACAATCAGCAGCATGGAGGGTGAAGATGTTGCAACCTATTACTGTCAGCAGTCTAGCAGTTACCACCCACAGTGATGCAGACCACAACAAAAACCCCATTAGCCCCTCAGGGCCCAGCTGTTTCTTGCTCAGAGTCTATGACATGATTAATTGTTTTAGATTAGACAGAAACTCCTGATTGTTTTCTCCTGGGGCCAAGGGTGTATGACTTCCTACAAATGGAAGGGAGATGTAGGGATGGGAAAGATGTGAGGACATGAACAAGGAGGCTCTTTGGGTGCCAGCCTGTCCAGAGAAGCCTCGGAAGCTATGACACAGATTTCCTGAATGAGACTCTTCTTCTCAGGCTAAGATACTGAATTGTGGGCTTGGGGAAATTATATCCCAGGATCTTCTCTATTTCATGAAGAGCAATGATGGAAAAATAACAGGCCTGTCCCAGAACTGAGTCAACCTTCAGAGACAGTGGCCATGTCCCCAAGGTGAAGAACTGCAAAGTTTATGCCATCATCAGTTCTTAAATTAAGAATGCCAAAAATATTTTTATCACACTTTTTATTGCATCACAGTGGAATAATGTGGGCATAATAAATCTGAAAATGTGTAAAGGATCCAAATTGTGACAATTTTCTCTCATTTGTGGTTCCTGTTGTATTTCCCCCTTTTTTTGAGCAGATGACACCCAGAATATACATGTGAAAAGACACTATTCCTTCATCCTCATTGGCAGTAACTTCGGCTCTCTGAGCCATCCAGAAGTCATCATGAATAGAGGTGGAAACTCATTAGCTCCACAATGAAGACTTTACTCTCAATACCAAAGGTAAACATGTTCTATCTTGGCTGACCTTAGTGAAAATAGAGGGAGAGAGAATTCATAAACAGAGAAAGACAGATTGCTTAGCACCAAGTACAGTGTTAGCAATTACAAACTGCAACATTTCTTATAACCTGGGACTGCGTGGTATCTAGATCTTCATCTTATTTACTTTCACATTACAAGCTTATAGAGTCAGCATAAAGCAAGTCATTCTGGAATGAATAATACACTCTATAGTGGGTTCTTTTAAACTTTTCACTCTTCCTTGTGTTGGGTGGCATTACTCAGGCCCTGTTGAGATGGAAAAAAATTATGGAAAAGTGTGTAATGATTCAGAAAATGATAAAGAAGACATTGCGTTTGTGGGACATTGAAACGATGCACTGGATCGGAACACATAATAAAGCACATTCTCTGCAGGAAAATCCATGCAGAGTTAAAGATATAACATGGGTACATTGTCCTAATTTCAGTGTTGCGTATATACGTTTTGCTGACCCCATATGTAGGGTTGTCAGCTAAGATTTCATTTTAATGTTCAAATTCATGTATAGTGTATATAAACATATTTAATGTATTCAATTGTTTATCGTGATCTTGTAAGATTATAGTTTATTAAAATATATTATTTTTGCAAATCTTCCAGAATAAAAACTACAAAAATATAAAAGTTAAGTAGATTTCTGGGTCTTTCATAAGCATGCTACAATATAACTTTCCAGGATGCACCAGGACAGAGTTGGGTTTGGGATACAAAAACTCACAGGTGTCAGGATTTTGTAGCTAAAGAAAAAAGTTTAGGTGCAGATAGAAAAGGGTGTGAACAAGAATCTCAGAAACTCATGTAGGACTCATGTAGCCTATTATGGAGTGACATGCAGAGCAATAGACAGAGCTGAGTTATGTTGTGTAAGACCAAATCCCTGATGTCAGCAGGATTAGAAGGAAGTGATGAGATAAAGTCTTTGAAGGTGAGGACCACAGAAAGCTGAGCTGGAGAAGACAGTTCACACTGGATTTACAAACCCTGTCAATGGCAAAAATTCTACTTTGCATTGTATTCTGGTTTACTATTCTACTGCTTTAAATTTTTCCTTTTGCCAAGATCTTCAAAGGCCCAGAAGAGAGACAGACTCTCTGCACTAAATAATATGCAAATGTATCAAATGAAAGAGTCTGCAAACTTCCCTGTGGTTTCTGATGCTGTGATATTTCCATAGTATCCTCTCTTCATTGGAAAGAAAACACTAAGAGCTTGTTTCTTTGCAACAACATGGAATAGGTCCCTCAAAATTACAGGAAAGCAGACCAATGCACTCCAGTGAGACTTAGAAGTAGCCACAGTTTCTAACGTTAAATAGGTGCTCTCCTAGTGTAACCAGGGAACCTGGGGACTGCTCATGTGCAGAGTTATAAACCCTGAGCTGGATCCGGTTTGTTCATTGCCTGAGTGTTTTCATATATTAGTCCACTCTGTCAGTCTTTCTCTGTCTCTGTCTCCTTTTTTGTATCTCTCTCTTTCTCTCTCTCCCTCTCTCTCTCTCTCTCTCTCTCTCTCTCTTTCTCTCTCTCTCTCTCTCTCTCTTTCTCTCTCTCTCTCTCCCTCTCCCTTTCTCTGTCTCTGTCTCTGTCTCTGTCTCTCTCTCATTCTATTTTTCATCTCTGATGATGAGAGGTAAGCCGATAACCTTATCAGGGTCAGACTCACCAAGGGTATTTTCTGTAATTAAATAGAACAATATACCTCACAGAGCCTTCATTTATTTCCAGAGTCCGATGAACAATACTGTTTCTGTGGGCCTGTCTTTCCCTCCTGAGACTCCTCACATGCAGCACTAACACTGTTGGGCCAGAGGGACAATGGATGCCCATGTCAATTCAAGGACTTTTCAACTTCCTGTAGAGAAAGAATACAAGGTAGCACAGTTGAAACCTTGAGTTTTCTCAAAACATAAACTCAAACATAACCTCAATTATGGTCCATTATTCCCGGGTCTGTATTTGGATCCTGGACACTCAGTTTCAATTTATGACATTTCTTAAATTGAAACCATCCATCACACAATTTAGTGGCAAGAATCTCTTTTGCATTGCCATAACTGACAAAAAATAGCCACATATTACTATGTTTAATATTTATATCTAATAAGAACCACATTTTTAATTTTTACTTTATTTATTCTCAAAGTAGGGGGTTTTCTGGGCAAAGGGTTAAATCACTCATTTTTTTTTTTTGTCTCTCAGATCTGTAGAGACTACTGCTTAGAGTCCTCATCTATTCCTTCTGTGTTCCTTAATACATGCACTTTATATTTTTTCCTTATCACAAATTGGGTCCCTTTATCTTCTCAATAGGCAAAGTGTTACTTTGCTTCAGGAATTTTGAAACAATGCTGGAAACAAAAACACTCGAAGGAATTAAGTAGCATTTATCTATAAGACAGAAGGCAGGTAACCCATTATAGACACAAATGACACCAAGACCATTCAGAAAGACCAGCATTCTAGCTTTTTTCATCCCAGCACAGGTTTTCTCCTTTTGCTGTTTCTGCATGGGTCTGGAAACTTAGAGAGTAAGTTAAAGACCTGATAACCTATACTGTAAGGTTTATTGTTACATGCATTTTTTTTTCTGAATACCAGTATTCTTCTACAAAACCCTAACTGAAAATCATAATACAAATGTAGACTCAGATTCATTTTAGGTTCTCAATAATTTCTCCACTTTAATAACAAAATATCCTAAAGGGAGAAATCTGATGTCCTTAAGCAAATCTGTCCTCTTTAACTGTTCTGGCACCACTGATACTGTGGACACTGGAGCTGTGCTGAGTTAATGACAGGAGCTTGTCCTGCAGCTGTTACCAGCCCTGCTATTTGCATGTGACCACAGCACAGCCCCTGCTCTGAAGACTGCTTAATAGACCAGTCACACCCTGAGCAGAAGTCTCTACCAGTCAGGAAACAGTGCAGACATGAGGATATCCAGTCAACTTTTGGAGCTCCTGCTGCTCTAGACGCCAGGTATGGAAGGTGAACAGTGGAAATTACCACAGCCTAATGTGATCAGCGCTGCCTGATGAGAAATGTTCTCTTTTATCCTTTTCAATTATCTGAATGTTTGCTTTTTTGTTTCCAATGATAGGTACCAGTCTCCCTCCTCCATATATGCATTGGTAGGAAACTGCCACAGTCAATTGCCAGGCATGTGAGGTTACAAGAAAACGGTTAACTTGGCATCAACAGAAATCAGGAAAAGCTCCTAAATGTGTCTAATCTACTATGCAAACAGTTTGGGGTCTGGTGTCCCTTCAAGGTTCAGTGGCAGTGGGTTTGGAACAGATTTCACTGTCACCATCAGCAGCTGGAGCCTGAGGATGTTGCAACTTTTTACTGTCAGCAGTATGATGCAAGTGGTACACACACCCAGTGATGCAAGTCAGAACCTAAACCCCCAAAGGAGCAGAGTGTGAGGCTGCCTTCACAACATCGTCTTTGCATTGCATTAAAATAGTGAGAGATTGTTCATATGCATCCAGGTTTTGATTGTACTTGGAGATCCTTGTAGAAGGGACCAAGAAGCTCCTTTGCAGCAGAGGTTTCTCTCTCATTTTCAACTTCAAATTCTGAGAAAATTCTATTTATATAAGACAAGAAAGATGTATTTAGAGTTGAATAATAGGAATCATGATTTTATTTAGAACTGAAAGAGGAAAAGAAATGCCAATGTACATACTGAAAGTAAAAATGATCTTTCTCGGAAAAGAATCTAATCCATAGCTTTTTAAGGTTCTAGAGTTCATTTCCAGAAATGTAGTGACATAGTCTAGACATTGTTTGGTGATCTCCCCGTCTCTTGGAATCCAAAATCATCTGCCTCTTAATGCACACAGACACGTGGACAGAGGTAAGTGGAGAATCAACAGTTGAAGAGCTGCATTCAGCTGAGAGGATGCACACCTCCATCTAGGCTTTATTACTTGCAGGTTGCCTATTCACTGCTGTTTGTGCCTTTTTGTCACTTACATATAAGATCAGTTTTCCAACATGAAGTCAGCCCTGCATTCCATGAGTAAAATCCATTCATCTGAGACAAATTATCAATTATATGTGTGAACTGAATAAGTTTGAAATTATTTTGTCAAGGGCCGGGGATTTAGCTCAGTGGCAAAGCACCTACTTGGTGAGTGTGAGATCCTAAATTCGATCCTCGAAATAATAAAACAATCAAAGAAAGACTTCATCAAGTATCTGT